GATTGGTCAAGCATGATTTTCCCTTAATGAATCCATGCTGACTACTCCTGACAACCTTCTTGCAACTGCTTAGAGATGGCATCAAGAATGAGCTGTTCCATCACCTTCCCAGGGATGGAGGTGAGGCTGACTGGCCTGTAGCTGCCCAGATCCTCCTTCTTGCCCTGTTTGAAGATTGGAGTGACATTGGCTATCCTCCAGTCTTCAGGCACCTCTCCTGTTCTCCAGGACCTCTCAAAGATGATAGAGAGCGGTTTAGCAATCAAGTCCTCCAGTTCCTTCAGCACTCGTGGGTGCATCCCGTCGGGACCCATGGATTTGTGTGCACTGATTTTGTTTAGGCTGTCTCTGATCAGCTCTTCCTCGACCAAGGGGCAGTCGTCCTCTCTCCAGACTCTCTCTTCCCTCTAGCATCTGGCATTCCCGAGAGGCACTTTTAGCTCTAAAGACTGAAGCAAAGAAGGCGTTCAGTATCTCTGCCTTCTCAGCATCTCCTGTTACCAGGATTTACCAATTTAGTAGATTGTGACTTGTTAGCAGAAGTGGGGAGGTGCTTCCTTGCCTGTTTTCTGTGCTTTCCCAACCAGTATTGTCCTGAAGGAGGTGCTTGCTGTGTGTAACACATGGAGAACAGCTGCCCAGTAGCTGTGTGTTCAATTTTAGTCACAGGTGTCTTAAGTTCCCTTCTTCTGCATACCCCGTTACTGCTGTAACTTGTAAATCTGGCCAAGTTTAAGGAAAATAGTGTGGAAGTATATTGGCAAGAACCTGGAAGCTTTATTGCAACAGAAAGTTTCTGCTTTGTAGATGAGGCAGTTGTACCTCTAGTCAGCCAGATCACCAAGAGTGTGTGTCTATTTTTAACACTGAATCAGTGTACTGAGACTTTGGAGATGCTGGATTTTGGTCCAGGTCAGATTGGTTTAGCATTTGTAGGACTCAGAAATATTATAAACTTTGATTATTTTTTATTATTTTTTTTCTTCTATCCTCATGCTCTTTCTTCACCTCTGTTCAGCAGTGCCCTAGCACAACAAATTCATGTTTCATTTGAAGATTTTGTTAACTATGCAATGGAAAAAACACTTGCTGATCTTTGAAGGCCATTCTCTGTTAGGAGAATGATGGCCTCCTTGGGACCTTGAGGTTTTTTCCCCTCAGCTGAGTAATCTGCTTGAGATTCAGCTCATTTCTTCCACAGACAGAGGCAGGGTCTCTTCTCCTTCCTCTATTTCTTCCCAGTTGAGCTTCATATTAATCAAGCTTGAAGTTCTCTGCTTGGCACAGTTTGGTAATCCAAGCCATGGTTTACAGTGTTGCAGCTGTGCATTGTGTCTGCACAGGGCACAGCACTGTCATCTCATCTTTATTAAGAGACATTTGTCTTTGGGGAGAGTAATTGGGAACCCTACAAGTCTTGAAAGTCCTGAAACCATAAAGATTAGTTCACTTGCTATGTATTCTGAAAAGGAGTATTTCGTGTTCAGCTGGAGAAGGGGTTTGAGCTCCAGGTCCCTGTTAGATGCCGTCTTCTTTTCTGTAAATTCATATACTTGTCTTCTGGTCAAATTAAAACACCCTGAAGGCACTTGTGATTTTTTTTCCCTTTTAAGCACAAGAGTTTCAGTTTGGTGTAGATAATCTGGTACTTTATTCTAGTGAAGAGTCGTGCTTTCTTTTGATAGTGCTGCTTGTTCTATTTCAATATTGCTTCATAAAATAAATATACATGTGCTCTATGGATCCATCAGTGCTGCATCTGACACTGGGGATGTTGGTGCTTGGCTCCCACAGGAAGCAGCTGTTTGTCTGAGGCCCAGGACCTCTGTAAAGAGATAGTGAAAGCTGATTCTGCAGGATTAGCAGCTCTCAGTTTGGAGGAGCAGATCCTGGGAAAGGAGAAGTAGATGTGGCCTCCTGCAGATGAGCTGCCAGAATTCAGGAAGCAGCACTGGTTGGTTGTCTGGAGCAGGCTGGGCTGGATGGATGCTGATTTGTGCTGGTCTTGGAGAGGGAAGGGATGGACTGAATGTCATCTGTGTTGGGGCAAAAAAGAGTTTGAACAGGGATGGCTGCCTGCTGGAGAAGTAAAAGCTTGTGCTCCTCCTTTTCCCTCCAACCCTGTGTGCTGCCATCCTCCTTCACCACGAGGTTTTGTGTGATGGGGGCAGGAAAGGGGGAAGGAAAAAAAGGATGCTGAGCCAGTATGTCTGATTCAGGGAGAAGAGGTATGTGATTCATCCTGAGGAACGTGGGGGCACGCAGGGAAAAAGCTTGAGAATGGTTGTACTGAATTAAATGATGTAGCAAAAGAGAAGATGCTTTCTGTTTGGTCAGGGTATCACTTTCTTTCATGGATTTTTAGACTGGCAAAAAGAATAACTTCTGCTATTCTGTAGTGTTAATCCTCAAATACCCGGAACTCCCTGTCCATAGCAGATCCCTGCCTATCTTCCTGTGCTACAGCTGCTAAATTCCTCATGGTTCTCTTGTATTATTCCTCTCCAGACAAGAAAACTAGTTTTGTTTTGGTTTTGGTTTTTTTTTTTAGTCTTTGTGAGTAAATTTGTCTTGGCTTAGTTAGCCCTTTTCTGAACGCTTAACCTGACTTCTAAGCCTCCAGGCATTGTTCTAAATACATGTTAGAGCAACCAGAGCAAGTAGGGTAAATCCAAGCTCTGTGATGGCTACATACTTTTAATAGGTTTTAGGTAGAATTTAAGCAAATATTTTTGGATTAAGCTAGCACTGGGACTTTTTATTTTTCTTTTTCTTGAAGCCCCATTCCCCCTCTGGGGAAGGTAATTTTTATTTTATTGGTTACATAAGATGTGTAGAAAATTTAAGAAACGCACATGGGCTTATGGAGAGTTGGGTAGTATCTTTAGAGACTGCCAGAATGGATTTCCTGCATTTGAAATTGTGCTGTTTAGGGTAATACATTAACTACATTAACACTTAGGTGATCTTTATTGTCCATTTTTAGGAACAGATGTACAGTTTAGTGGACAAGCATGTGGAATTCACTGCAACTCTTTTCAAGATGGTTCTTCTTTGGAAGAGATGACGGCTGCTTTGAAATTTCTGTAGTGTCTTTTTATTAAAGGAGGATTCCTAGTAAGAGATACTGTTCTGTCTGCTTCTTATTAGACACAGAGAATCAAATCTCTGCATATAGTCTGTTTAGGATCATTTATCTTAAAGCATTGGCATCTTTCAAACACGTAACCAGTCTTTGTATCTGCATTAGTGAAAATAAATAAGGTAAGAAAATATTATAAAGACTTCTCTACTGTCTGTGAGATGATAGATGGATGGAAGTATAGATGATACACGTATATATGTATTTGCAGGGTTAGAGCCTAAAAAGAAAGTAAATTCTACTGAAAACCTGAAAATGAAAGGAAACATCCTAGTGAAAGAAAATGTCATCATTCGGTACAAACTTTGTTTTTTGCAGAGGCAGCAGGGTTGTGACTTGCTGTTACACAATCAGCAACTGGAAAAATGCCAGCTTCTCAAAGTAACTTGCTGTCTTTACATGAGGATGTTATAAATGATACTGCAAACTTGAGTGAAACGAAAACTTCAGATGAAAAAGGATCTGTGGAAAAAAGAACAGTGACTGTGATTGAGAAGAATGGCTATCGTGACTCCGTGTACGTAAATGCAGCTCGGATTTTTCAGGGCATTCATGCGGAAAAGCCTAAGGATAGAATATTGGTGCGGTATGGTGATGATGGCTCATTATCTCCCGTGCTAACTCTTAAAGATGAATATTCCCAGCGTGTATCTTATGAACTGGCTTTCAGTGCTCTGAAATGTAAGTACACAACTTTTCCAAAAATTGCCAATAGAAATTATATAGCAGAGAAAATACATGAAATCAAAGTGTTTTGGTTCTTCGTGACAGCAGAGATCTGGGGAGTGTTTTGTTAAACTGTAAGTTACTGCTGGACCACTCGTGTCCCTCAAATATTTAAATATATCAAAGTGTTGTCAGCATTTTATGAAATCAAACATTTAAACTATACTTTTTCCTGTAAGGGAATTATGTAGAGTTGTTACTGTTTGTGATTGAGTTTGCCCTTAATTTTCATTATGTTTAAAATTGCAGCTTTTTCTTTAGTGATTTTTAAGTTTTTATTTTTCTTGCATAGATTCTTGTCGATTCATAGTGTAAATTATCAGTATTTTCTTCTTTTTTTTTTTTCAGATCAAGACCTTCTTGAAGAAATATTGTTAGATAGTTGTGTTTACCCCTGCCAGTCAATAGTAAGTGAACATTTTTGTGAGGAAATACATTTTGTATTTTCTGAGTTGATGTAATCAGAATATTTTCTGGGGATTCTGCAACATTCTGTAAAACAACATTTGAATTATGTGGTAGCCTGAGACTGATGCGTTGCAGTCTTTTTTAGTTAACTGCCTCAAGCATCAGTCTCTAGGGTACTGATACACATTGTTTGTGAGGTTCTTGTTGCATCTTACTGCTGGGAATCGAAACCTTCAGAGAAAAAAGGTAGGAGAGCGAACCATAATGCTTACTGCAGTGTAACGCTTGCTCGGTGATGTTGTCCGTGAGCCAGTCCATGTGTTTTCCTTCCTACCTGTGTCCCTCTGTGAGTGGGGAAAAAAGTCACGCTCCTTTCCTGTCCCTGGGAACTGGACAGCATGGAGTGAACCCCATCAGACAAAAGAATGCATTGAACCTATGTTTCATTTCCTGGGCAAACTGTATTGTATACAAATATTGTACTTACTACTGGCAAAAATTGGGCCAGTTTACTCTCTCAACATGTTTTTGTGCTCTGACTTGAAAAGAAAATCTAGAGCTGGCAGAGTAATCTGCTATTTCTTCCTGTTTAGTCTTTGATGCCTTTGAAAATTGCAAGATGAATTTGAACTGATGTTTTGTTATTTGTGGAGATGGATGTAAGCAGGGAAATGATCTAACACATTTCAGTTTTGGCTTGTTTTTGTAAGGGAGCAAGACTTAATGTGGTCACATTTTGTGTTTGATGGTATTTCCCTAATAACTTGAGTTTCCTAGCTAATTTCAGTCATATTTGTGAGAAGGTTAGAATTTTCCAAGGCACAAGAACTGTAGAAATTTCATGAGAAGAGGTAGGCAAGAGTAACTGAAGTGCTGTTAATTACTGTCCCTAAGAAGGAGATGCTCCCTGTTTTAAACATTTAGACACGGGAAGGAGATTTTACATAAGTCCCAGCTGCAGAATGGTTATTGTAACTGAGCTTATTGGTTGTTATATACTGAAGAATCCCACAAGACACAAATTGATAAACAAGAAGTTTCTGTTAGCTCAGCTTGAATAGAAACTATTTTAGGAGTTAAAAATAATTTCAGAGTTTAAATTCTGATGACATTCAAAGTTGTTAAGATACAGCATATTATCTGTGTGTATGGAAATGTTTTTAATTTTAATAAGCTAAATCACTTTTAAGTTGTGTATTTGAGTTTTTAAAAAATTCTTCAGTGTTTTACTAACTCTCCATGAGGGATTACTTTCATATTCCCACAAATAAGCGTTTTATTGGAGTTTTTAATGCCTCTCATGCGGGAGACTGCTGTTTGATATGGATCTTTGCACGAATGCTTTCTGTCACTTTCTCTATCCAGTTGTTTTTTTGTTGCAGCCAGATGAATTAACCAGCTTGCTTGTTGTGATGCTTTATGACCTACAAAACCGAAAATTTCAAGCACGGGAGATTCTTGGTGATGAGGAACCTGTAGCAGAAGTTAGGAAAATAGAGCGTTATCTATCCAGGTATACATACTAAGAACTTTTTTTTTGTTGATATATATTAGCAGAAATACGAATTTGTATAAGCAGTGCTTTTTTTTTTATAATTGTCAGTATTACACATGTCTTTCAGCTTCAAATTTTGTGGGCTTTGTTTTTATATTTAATGAGAACCTCATCTGCAGGGAAACTTTCATATTTGTGTAGTTAAGAAAAATACAGCTATCAAACCACCTTTCTGTTGTGGATCATTTTGCTAGAAAAAGTTATTTTATTTTGGAGTTGTTCAAACTTTTTTCATACAATTTCAGAACAGAAATTAAATAGTAAATGTTCATAATATGAGTGTAATAGAGTCTCATGGAATGGAATAACATCCATTTATTTAGCAATACTTCTGTTATGGAACTTTGTTAGATATTTGTTATTGTAAGTAATTGGAACAAAAAAAGGGGATATGCAAAATAAACATTGTAAGTAGTGTTCAAGGATTTCTTTCATCAGTCCGTTGATGAACTCAACAGGCATTTGTTGGACAAAATTGTGTTGCTGCTGGATTTAGAATAGCCCAGAAAGTTCATTAGTATCATAAATACAAGGTATTCCTGGAGGTAGGGCAGTAAATAATACACCTTGACATCTGATGTAGCTCACCAGCAATTTTTATTTGCTTTGAATCACGTATCAAGATTATGCATAAAACTTGTGGGAAGAAAAGATTGGGAATATTTCCTGTGGCATTTTCACGTAATAATAATAAAACTGACTCCTGGTTGCCATCATACTTGTGTTGTTTCTGTGCATATTTAGAGCTCAGCTTTCATCAAGTGCTCATTCTGCACAAATATGTGTTTATATCTTCAAACATACAAAACAATTCTGATACAGTTCCAAAACATATTTGCCTTTTTTAAGCTGTCTGAGAGAACTGATGTATTTGAGAGTCATCTGTCATAATTCTAGTCCCATATGCATTTAGGGAAAACAGTCTTAGCTAGGTACTACTACCTTGCATCTACCATGGGCTGGGGTAGAAAATGTCCTGTAACTGTATTTTCAGTAGCAGCTTGCAAAATGAGGCCTCACTTTTGGTTTTGGTTTCTGAGCAAGATAGTGTTGTAATAGAAATATTGCATATTGATAGCTACTGTACATATCTATAAAACTTATTAAATTTGTGATTATGTTTTTGTTTTGTAGTTCTAGGACTAAGTTGGCAGCTGCACTAGCGAGATGTCGCATCAAACACGGTGTTCTTTCAATTGAATACATTCTACCAGAAAGCATACGAAAGCAGGAACAAAGGGCTTCTGCTTTACCTTTGTGTGTTTGGATAAACACATCTAAAATCAGGTAAAGTAAACTTTAAAGTATCATCTAGTACTGGCATTTTTACGTATGAAGTGATACCATTTGCTACATGCTTGTTTTAGAATTTCCAGGTTATATATACATATTATTACCAGTAATTTAAGTTTCTTATAGTATATTCTGCTTAGTCTGGTGACTTTGCCTTATGTTTGTTTGTAGTTTTTATATATTACAATAATGGTATTCTTATAGCGGCCTTCCAGTACCTGAATGGGGCCTACAAGAAAGCTGGGGAAGGACTTTTCATAAGGACAGATAGTGCCAGAACAAGGGGAAATGGGTTTAAGCTGAAAGAGGGGAGGTTTGGATTAGATATTAGGAAGAAGTTTTTCACTGTGAGGGTGGTGAGACATTGGAACAGGTTGCCCAAGGAAGTTGTGGATGCCCCCTCCCTGGAAGTGTTTAAGGCCAGGCTGGATGAGGCTTTGAGCAACCTGATCTAGTGGAAGGTGTCCCTGCTGGTGGCAGGGGGGTTGAAACTAGATGATCTTTAAGGTCCCTTCCAACCCAAACCATTCTATGATTCTATGATAAACTGTAACAAAGTTGTGAAATGGTTTTTCTCACTATTTTGCTTGTGTGGGTCTTTCACCAAATAAATGAGGAAATAAAGTCAGAAAAAACTATATGGGTGACTAAACTGTGAAGAAAAACAGAGAAAGAGAAACTTTAAAAAGTGGGTGTATTACTGTAAGCAACATAACATAACATTAGCAAGGATGTTAAGACAGATCCAATGCCTGTTACTGGCGTTTATTCTGTAAGGAGAGCGTAAACCTGAAACAAAAAGACACTTCTTCAAGTCTGTATATTGGGTGGACTACTATATATGTAACACTGGTCTTCCCAGTTCTGTGCTACCTAATACATGAACCATACCAGATTATCTTGTATATCTGTTTTGTTAGACAGGTAATCCATTTTATCATGTTTTCAATAATTTTGTTTTTATAGTATTGTCTTGGACTAGTGTTCTATGCTTAGGTTATAGGCTCTTCAAGACAGAATAGGTGTCTTACTCTGGTTGTGATTTTGCAGCCCTGAACTAAGATTGAGCAGAAAGCTGCTGCATCAACCCTACATTTAATGTACCCTATAAGCTTATGGCACTGTCTGAAACTGTATTTCAACAAACAAGTCTTAGTATATATACCTTAAAATCTTCATGATATTTGAATTGCAGACCTTAGCATTTATGCTTTTATTACATTTATAGAAGGATTATTTCAGGTATCAGCCATTAAATTCATTGGTGAGCTGGGCTAAATTGAAAGCAATTGAAAGAACTAAACTATTCCAGCAGTAAATCTGCTACAGTGTCTCCTGAGCACATGGACATTTCTGTTTTGATGCTTTGAAACATCCTCTGGAGACACAAGCCTCTTCCTTAATTTATTTTATCAGATTTCTTAATTGTTTCAAACCAGAACTTGTATGTATAAAAGACAAAAATCCATATTATCAATGTGAACTATATTACTTGAGTAACTCTTGCATATTTAATGGCCAGAGTTGTATGTTAACAGCCTTCAAGACATTTTCAGGGATTTGAAGAAGAAGGGATTCACAAGAGTTGACTCTGTGTCAGACCTTGACTGTTACACATACTGTATGGACCAACATTGCCATGATGTATTGGTTTTTCCTTCCTCTCTTAAAGAAGAACTGCTTAATTTAGATCTTTTTGCAGACTGCAAACTCTTACTGCAGGTGAGTTGATGTCACGCTTGAGTAATACAGTCTGCAAACTAAAGTAATGCTTTGCATTAGAATGAGGTCACGTATTGTGTGACTGTCCTACTAAATCAGTCAGGCAGCAACATATTCTCATAAGGTTTTGGTCGTTTTTATTAATCAGAAGGTTATAAACTGTTTCACTTACTAATGCAAATGTTAATGCTTACAATTAAGTTAGAATGTTTGAAATTTAGTCTTAAAACTGTTGAAATAAACATGAAAAATGGTCAAAGAAGCAGTTTCACTTCTGAAAATGTGAGGAAAGCTTCTATGTAACTCCGTATGTATTACTCCCAGTTAGTAGATAATGGTATGCTGATATTATCTCTTCCTCTTCAACTGCATATTTGTGATGGAATGATGATGCTTCTTTGTATTATGTGCAGTGTGATTCCCTAAATCTCCAGAAACCCCAATGGTCTTTTTCCTGACTTGCCATTGTTAGCCTCTCCAGGCAAGACTGGTTGGAGGTTCCTATTGTAGAGTGGTGGTTTGTAGTAACTGTGCAACAACACACAACCACAAATTATCTAAAGTGTCTGATGATTCTTGAGTACTTAGCAGAAACATTTCAAAGGGCATATTCACTTGATGCTTAGTGTTTTCTGGAAATCATAGCCTCAAAATTTATTAGCCAACTTACAAAGTAATTCAATATTCAATTTCAGTATGTGTATTTTGAATAGAAGTCTTACAGCAAAGAACTATACATAACAGCCCCATAGGTCACGGGAACAAATGCTGAGTATTACTACTGAAGAACAATAAAAGTGAGGAAACAGAACCCTCAAAACTCCCACCTCTCTCTCTCTAGTGGGGTAGGGTGGTACTTGAACGATGTAAGTGGATAGACATTGATGTGAACTTACAGGTTTAGCACTTTTTTTTCCCGCCCCTCACCTCACTCATCAGTGTCTGCCAGATCTGGTGCAAAGCACGGTACCTGTGGTCCAGATCTTCAGTCTTTGCCTTGTAAAGTAATTTGATGGGGATAACGTTTGATATATCTCTTTTTCTCTTTATCACCTGTAGTATGAGATCATTTACTCTTCTTGAGAGGTCCCTGTGCTTTGTGCATGCAAATCTGCCTCTGTGTTGTTCAAATTGCAGCAGAACTTTGCTCTTTGATGTGTAAGGGCTTAATTTCTCTTAGAATTATCATGAAGAGCTATGTGAATAGTTTTGCATTTCTCTGTTAAGCTGCCTCTGAGGATGAATTTGGCACATTGTGGCTTACGTTGGTCTTTTCTGGAACTGGCTGTTGATAAGAGTTCCTCCTTATGGAGATGATACACACTTACATCCTTTTCACCTATAGACATTATGCTTTCTTATGCGTTAGTAAGAATTACATTGTTTAGGTTTAGTGAGTGACTTAATAAGATGTTTGGTTTTGTACTTTATTTAATTCTGTATTAGCAGCTATCCGTGGTTAATTTTTCTCCTCCCTTTTCTGTTTGCCCTGAAAACAATGAAGTGCTTTCCTAATTTGGAAGAGAAGGTTGGCATTTGTAGAAACAAATTAATTTCTGTGTCATTGTTTCTAGGATAAGTCTCGCAGCCTTGCTGTGCACTCCACACAGGCGCTGTTGAACGCAGGTGACGACATTATAGTGGCTCACGTAGGTTCCCACCTGACCATTGCCCATATGTCAGTGCTGACAAATGACAGCATGTCCAGAATTTTTGTTTGTGGCGTGAAGACTTCAGCAAAAGAAGCAGAACTGAGGGACTTGTTCAGTCACATGGGATGTGAAAGTAGGTGTTAAAACAGTTGGTATGCATAAAGTATCATAATATAGATGTTTGTGATCTCTGTAAATATAGCTAGCGTAATTGTATGAGAATTCAGAGGTCCCTTGTTTGAGGTCTTGGGGAGGGCAGTAACCACTTATTTTTTTGTCACAAGGTGAACTGAGAGCTCTTCAGCTACAATCAAGTTAATCAAAGGTTGCAGATTAACCATGTCATAGATGCAGGCTCCTGAAATGTCAGGGTGAATTTTTCCATATATGTGGTTACTGTATAGGGGTTAGTGCAGATGGTAGCTGGGAACTTTTAAGTCCATTTATTTGGTGTACTGGCTGTAGTTTCCAGTCTGATTTACAGCTGCTTGAGAGTGTCAATCCAAAATCCATGCACTTGTCAGTCTACCTGGAGGACACGATCAGAACAGAATGCAGTGAGGCTCTGGAACCCCATTAGCAATCTTTTCAGTGGAAGATGCTAAGGGCTAGCTAGTCTTTCAGTCTGTTTCAAATCAGTGGGCCATACTCTGGAGGAGCTGGGTCTGGAAGGCTATAGCTCTTTGAAGCCTCCGTAACGCCACGTTCTCTTCACCTTCAACCCATTAAAGGGCAGGCTTGCTTGCACATAGAACTGTTGAGTTTTCCTCTTTTTTCAGATATTCAGTTGTTACTTGAAGACTTTACTGAGATTGAACCAACAGACCCAAGACTTCAAAACGCAAAAGTTGTTTTGCTGCTGCCACAATGCTCCGGACTGGGTGTTGGCAATCCAATAGACTTTATCTTAAGTGAACACAAAGGTAACTTCTGATAAAATAGCTAGCTCATGCTTTCTGGTAGAAATAGTATTCAAGTATTGTGGTCTGGACATCATAGCTGGTTCAGTAAATGGTATGATTTTATAAAATACCCTTTTAGTTTTTTATTTTAACTACTATAAAACTTAAATAACTTGAATAATTCTGTATGTGTAATGTACATGCAGGCTACTATAGAAATACAGAAGAGAATAAATAAATTAGATTATTTTTCCACACAAAGTGAGCAAGAATGTATTTGGCCTAGCTTAGGATTCTTAACAAGAAAGCAAAATCTAGGTGGCCCTGAAGGACTAAGAGTGTTTTGTAAAGACGATTTCAAGTCAATAGTAAGAAGTTTGAGGGTTATTCTGGGGAGTAGAATGTTTATAGCCTTTCTTTTAAAGTAAAAAGACTACAGGTAGAAAATTTATTTCAAGATACCAATGAGTATATATGTAATTTTCCCTTAATAGACCTTTTGTGTAAAGTCTATTCACTGTACAGTTTTCATTAAATAGAAACAAATAAGAGGCAGTAGTAATTACAGGTAAAGAGGGAAAGAAGCATCATGTAAGCATCAAATCCTTAGTACTGTAATACATAAAGCCTGCCTTCCCACTTTACCAGTAATAATCAGGTCTGTTACCAAAGCATTTTCTGCAAACAACCAACTTTTAAGACACTAATACAAGTTGCATTAATAAATTTATTACTCTGCATTTAGATGCAGGATTGCTAAGAGACCTTTTCCAAGGATCTGTATCTGAGGATAAACTCAGTATTCTTGCTGAGAGGCAGCTTAAGGAGTTGATGCACGCAATGAACTGTAAGTGTGCTAGCTCTTGGATTGCTGGGAACACCTTGTACTATCAATTCCTTTGTAATGCCACCAGTTTTACATAGTTAAAGATGCGCTGATTACTCTATTTGTTAACAGTAAGTGTGTAACCAAACCCCCTAAACAATGATTATCTTCTCAAGTTTAAAGGTGCATCTGTGTCCTAGTATTCACCAGCCATTAATACAATAATCTTCAGCACTGTATAGAGAACTGGCTTACTGGCTTCGTCCTGCTCTGCTTTGGAAAAGTTGTAAATGTAGTCTGACTCCACCTGCACGCTGACACTTCCTTCTCCCCTCCTTTGGTAGCTGTGTGAAAAGACTGGCTGCAGCCCTGAATTTCTGCTGAAATCTGCAAATATTTGAAAAGATTTTAGATATTAAAAAACAGTAGAGATTGAATACTAATGTGTGCAGGAGGATATATTTTTAATATATATGTCAACAACTGTGTGTGTGATTTGAACAGTAGAAAATGTTTGTTTGTTTTGTAGTTAACCAAGTACAAGCTATTGTTTACTGCACTTGTTCAGTTTACCCAGAAGAAAATGAACTTGTAGTGCAAAAAGCACTGGAATCTGGAGTGGAAGGAAATGAAGTACAACCATACAGGTATGGAATGAGTGGTTTTGTCTATGGAAATTTAAGTATAACTATAAATTGTAGCATAATTCTTATCCTAGACTGATCTGTCTTGCAATAGATCTAGCATTTTAAATAGTTTTTTGCTGCCTCTCATTCTATTCCTTTTGATGTTATGAGAGTACCAAGTAGCGTCCTCTTGACTTTTTCATCTAATATTTTCCTTCCCATCTGAAATCAGGATGGGGGAGGAAAGCATCACTGGTTGGAAATTACATTGCGGTGAAGCTAGTTTAAGATAAAATGGAGACTAGAAGTCACGGAACTTGCTAGCATCTCAACTAAGAGATAGATAACTAACAAGAGTTAGCATTTTGCTAACTCTCAACTTCTCACCTAGAACCATCAGTTTCAAAGGAAAAAGAAACGCAGTCTTAAAATGTGAGAGTAACATAGAAGAGTAAGAACCTCTGCTGTAGGAGTGCTTGTCCCTGTATTCAGTGAATGGCTTAAGGGGAAACAGGTTACAGCAACAGAACATCCTGTGCCATCATAGTGAAAACAAATAGATATGAAAAAAGAATGTGTGTTGTATACTTTGTATGTTGTTAAAGCCTGTCAGCTGCCACCCCTGCCAGCTGGAGCGGTTCTTAAAAGACTGATGGGTACTTTTTGCATTTTCCTTTCAGTCACAGTAGATGAATGCAAATAGTTGGCACTTGCTTGCACACAGATATAACAGTTGATTACAGGATGCAGGTTAAAGGAGTTTATGTTGCCAAAAGCACAGGAGAGTAATACTGTATTTTTAGATTTTATATTATCTTAGATGATGTTAATGAGTTGGCCATCGTGGGGAAAGGTACTGTGGTTCAAGATAGCATTCAGCAAACTTAAATTTTGCATTATTAAAATGGTAAATGTTAACTGTGGCCATTCCAAAGAATTTTAAGAGAGGGATGTTACACATAATGTTAAGGTACAGTACAACAAAACGCATCTTCCTTGCAAATCACCAATAGAAAGGAGCAGCCTGCTTGAGATTTTACACTAAATGGGATGGAGCTGGGGTATGTCCTGCCAATGGTGCTATGCTTGTCCAAAAGCATTTACGGACTCTTGCTGTAAACTGTGTTTTCCTTTGGGATTTGAAATTTTGTGACGTCTGCCATGCCATGTCTTGACCTCTAGGGGGACCATGGAGCATAACGATCGCTGAATTATTTGAACACAAATAATACATAAATTCATTATATATACAAGAGAATTTATATTTTTAAAATTCTGAGAATTTTTTTTTCCAGAGCTTTAATTTTTTTCAGAAAAAAATTACCCCTTGTCTAGAGCACCTCCCTTCCCCCCAAAGCCAAAACAAAATCTGTCCAGTGTTTTGCAGAAACATCATGAAGCTTGTCAGACCTCCAAATTATACTTTTACTTTCAAATACAAGGCAGTTTCAGATGGTAAGTAAGGGAGAATAAAATTACATTAGGATTTTTGCAGACCTGAGCAAATTTGTGATGGAAGACTCATCAGACTTCATAAATGACACTTCCAGAATCAGTTCCTCCTTCACTGACATGCACATACGTTTTCATGCCTCATTCTTGCTACAATAAAGCTGCTGGTTACCAGAATGAACGGAGCAATAATGGAAACCATAAATAAAATATATAGTGTGACTAAGCTTGTCTTAAGGTGAAAGCTCAAGCCAATTAAGATGCATGTACTAATTATGACAGTTTTTTGTACACTTTCTTAGAATTAATTAGGTAACTTATTTGACTAATAGAATGCAGGATAGAACGAAAAAAACTGTTGCAGAATTACTAGCCCCTGTGTTCACAGCAGTGGCTTTGAGAGGCCACTAATAAAACATCCTGTGTGATCATCACAGATAATTTCCTTTTCCAAGAAAATTGAGGCCTTTCAGAAGCCTCTTCCACAAGTTGTGCTTATGTGTATTATATCCTTTGGAATTACGCTGCAGTGCTGAAGTGGTGCCGAACAAAATAAGGCTGTGCTGGATCCTGGGGTCACACAGCTGCTCTTAGGGCTGTGACATCATACAGGTGGTTTCAAACACGTACCCACTGTCTAAGCTGAGCTTACTTTAAGGGTATGACAGACAGCTTATGGTAAAGCTTTACTTTACATAATGGCACGTACACAGTGTGAACACGTGTGTATAGAGGAGACACTAAACTGTTCATGCATTTCCCTTTGGCCTATGAAATCTGAGTTAATTTCTGCATCAATTTTCAGGGTCAGACCATCCATTAAAGGATTCCTGGTAACAGTAATCTGTATACATCAGTCAAAATAAAATTAGTACTTTTTTTGCATTGAATGATCAGATTTAAAAGCAAAAATCTCCTATGGTTATAGGACATAGAGTTTTATTTAGTAATGCAAGGAGGATGCGAGCTCTGTAGTTTGTTTTACCAACTTCCAAGGGATGTAAAAAAAATCCAGATTACAGTGAAAACTTATGAACAGTTTTGCAGGATTCCCATTAGAAATGGACTAGCCAGCCAAATCAGGATGTTGCTTACAAATACTGAGTGCATTTCTCCATAACCATCTTTTGAACAAGAGGATCAGTGGAGTACTGAGGAGGGGCTGTATCTTACAGTCCTCAGCAGTGCGAAGAGGAGGGGGTAAAAATTGCACAAGGACCATTTGATAGCATTTTTCTGTACTGAAACCACTTGGTACTACCTCAGCAGCTGTATGAGCCAGGTCCTTGAGGCCTGTTTGTAACATCTAGGGATTCTTGGAATACAGGGAGAACACAGAAAAGGCTGGTTCTTCCTTCCTCACTGATGCATGGCAAAACTGTTAATCTGAGAAAACATCAGTCAATGATTACAAATAGGTAATTTTTTTCTAACTGAAGATTTTTAGCTTAGGTAGATATTTATTATGAGCATATACTTAATAACTCAAGTCAGCACCTCTGCGATTTCTCTGTACTGCTCAGTGTTTTCAGGGCGTTCCTCAACTTTATGGACAACTTGATAATCCAGTAATTGCAGACCTGAGAAAGAACATTGTTGTTAATTATGTTCATACATATTTGTTATCTGGTGGTTACTATACTTATTGGAAAAAACAGAATTAATTCTAAAAAGATTAGTTCTTATGTCTTTCTTGAATTGCAGTTTCTTAAATTGAAGATAGGCTCTAAAACTGTCATTGAAAGACACAATTTGTATGTTACTTCCAGTATATCCTTGTTTATTTCTTTTTATATACTTGAACGTTATCTTCTGGTAATTTATTACTTTCTACAGGCTTACTCCTCCTGTTTTTAATACTTGCTCCAATTCAGTGAGTTCCACTGAGTTCTTTTTCAAAATGGAGCCATCAGAAATTTCCAGTGGCTGTTTTCTAGCTATTCTGGCAAGAGAGGTAAGCTAAGAAAATTACTATCTAAAAATGTTTTACAGAAAAAGAGTAGGGCCATTTTCCACAAAAGAATATATGAAATGGAACATTTTAAAAAAAATTCCTAGCTGTTCTTTAGTTGACTTTTGAGAACAAAGAATAGGTGAGCAGTTGGAAGGTGCCGCTCCTTCAGAGTTTTACAGTGAGCGCAGCTTTCCAACATGTGCCTTGTCTTCTGGAGCTGTCTGTGATCAGATTCTTGATGTGCACCAGTGCTAGGAACAGCTAGAAGAAATACATTGCTGCTGTCACACCTTGGAATGAAATACACAGCTTGATCACTCATGATAAATGGTGTCTAGTAAAGCTATTTGTCATGTCTGTATGTGTTACCAAGCTTTGCCAGTATCCAAGCAGACAGTGCCCCCCATAAGGATTAAGAAGACTTCATTAGAATTTTAATAAAATAGGTACAAATAGGTTTCCTTCCAAAACTAAGGCATATGCAAATCTGGCTTTGAAAGGCAGGGCCTTTTGCTGAGTAAATGGAAAAGGCACAATTCCTGAGGAAGGGATCCCTTAAAGGGCTAGTTTGCATCGCTGATGATCAACATTTTCCTCTTGTGTCTGAGAAGAGCAGGACTTCTTCTCAGCAAGAGAGGAGGGGGGGGAGCTAATTAGCATTTCATTGAAAAGTAAAGATAGGAGATCTTACTTGGTTATTTGTACCACTTTCTGTCACGCTGCAATTACAGTGCTTGAAAGAAGCTTGTGTCTTGGGGGGATTTTATTAGAGTAAGAGAATCACACATGAAAAGCCTTTCAAGTTATCTATTATTGACCTCTTTTTTTTCAATGTAAAATATTTTTTAAGCTGTCTCCCTGAGCTAATAAGTTTTAGTTAATCATGCTGTATACATGTCTACCATATTCTCTCTCTCTCCAGAGAAAGAAACACTTTTGTTTCAGGTAGCTGATTTGAATAATTTCTCAGTCAAATTCTAATGCACAGAAGCAATTGCTCCTATGGTCAATTTTAGATGATTGTGGAAATGAAGATTTTCTGCAAAGCAGAAAGTGTGTACTTACAATTTAAACTGAAATTTCTGGTTTACAGAAACCCTCTTCTTGGCTAGCTGTAAATAGGTTTTTTTCCTCATTGCTTCTCTTTACATATTTGGATGTTGGTCTGGTTCCTAGTTAATCTCGTTTGAGAGTTCCTTGCTTACGTGGTAGGAGCAGGGATTTTCATTATAATGAAAATCATTCATGTTAATATATTATTGAGAACATTTCTGCATTTTAGTAACCATTTCTGATACACACACGTACATATATATATATATATCTATATCTGTCTATCTATTTCTCTCTATATATCTACACATGCACATTTTTACAGACACATTACAGAGCAAGTCAATATGGGAGACGTAGTACAAAGTCCAGAATTCAGTCTCCCCTCTCCAGGCCTGCAGAGAGCAAAGTCTCTGAAAAGAAAATGCTCAGATACCTCTTCACACAAAAGTCACGTTCTTAATTTCTTGAATAAAGAGTTAGGTTAGCATTTATCACAAGTGACTTAAGTTTTTCTGATGGATTCTACCATAGTTTAATCGTGGAGTAAAGCTGAGGAATCTGGGATTAGAGTTTGCAGCTCTGTGTTGTGGTTTAGATTTATTGTTGCTTCCTTTGAAATTTTCAGAAAGATTCTTCTGAAAATGTGTCTGTTAAGGACATTTTGGCTCATGCTGCAGCTGAAGGACTACTAGATGTAGATGGCGTTGTTGGAGAAAAATCAAAGAAAGAGGAGAAAAAGCAACCAAAAGTAACACAGCCTAGAAGTAATATTACTGGTGGTCGTATAAAGCCGAAGAATGCAGCGTTCCTTCACCGTCAGACTGTCTCTACCAATAAGGCTGAAGTTTCAGTGTCTAAAGCAGTCCGTAACGTCAAACCAAAGAACGTGAACCAAACTAACACCCGTGTTCTGCTGAAGGAATCTATCAGCCCCGTTCCAGACAGAGCTCTGCCTAAAGTACTGAAGCACACACCTCACTTGTCACCCACGCACAAGTTGCGTGGCAGACAGACACTTGCTAGAAAGGCTCGCGCAGAACGTAAAAGGCTTGTATTGAAGCCCATAGAAATTGTTTTTCCTCCAGTGATAACACCACACGTAAGTCCACAAGGAACCAAACCCAGGGTACCAATTCATCGTTGCTTTCATGGTTGGACTGGAGTAAAGAGTTCGAGTGGTAGGATACTTCCACCCTCTCCACCTAAAGAGGTCAAGCCAACTGGGCTCCGCCATCCTCGACGATGGCTGTAAGAACCTTCAGACTTTGTCCCTGCTTTTATGGAGAAGGTAAAGATTCCTGTATATACTAATCAATACACTTCGGTTACAGTCAGTCTTTATGCAGGATAATCTTGCTGTGGGAAACAAATATATTATGGAGTATTTGTGTGGAAATACCCATGTTGGATAGTAATTTTTAACAGGTAATTACACTTTAAAGTGAATGCAGCTCAGCTGCATGAGGCTGATAGACTGCTGGGGGAGTGAGGTCAAAAAAACTATAGTTTTTTGCTATAGACTTTGAAGTGACAAGCTAAAGCATACAGGCTTTTCCCCCCATGGCCTGCATAGATCTGTAAGAATTCTCAATTTCAAATTGAATTTTTTAAAGTGAGACTGCATGCTAGATACCATTTTTGTAACTATTTAGAGAGTGTGACACATGGAAAGGAAGCCTTGCACATTTAGCCAGTCAGCTCACCTTTCTTTCTAAAAGTAGGTATGAACTTTTGTACAGGCAACTGGCTAAGTATACTAAAGCCCATATGTGCACAGGCTTTCTAGTACTTAACTCCTCTGGTTTCTACTCAGGTGTGCTTCAAAATATTAACACTGAAAAGTAGATAAAATATTCTCATGCTAAAAATACCAAATTATCATCATAATGTCTTGTCAGACTGTAGCACAGCTCGTAACTGCTTTTCACCAGCTTTCTTAACACAAGCAGTTCTTAGTTAAAAAGAGCTGCTGCTGTCAATGTAAAACATTTTTATATATGTTAGTGCTCGTTAGCTGAATAATGACTGAACACAGAGTAGTCTGTCTGTCTTTGGAAAGAGCTGTGAGCTTCTAACCTGCTCCCTCTTGCTAGCAAATATAAAATAAAATAACTGTAAAATATCTACAATTGTCATAATCTGAGCAGAGCATAAAAGGGAAACAGAAGTACTTTTAACAAGAAAGCAGTATCATTAACAAGAAGGTTAGTTAGTATTTGATTTAGTATTAAATATGGGCAGTAATAAAGAAGGAAAATGTCAAACAATAACATATTTAGGTTATACTGTTGTAGAAATTAAGCAAAGACAGCATAGCCATATAGAAAGAAAAAGGTAGCTGTGGCCCAGAAGAGAAATTTCCCTCTAGGCAATTATTTAAGATATTGGGTAGAGTGCTGCCAGTAGTGTCAGCGATGTGGTGTGGAATCTTAACCTATTTGACATATGAGTCTGTGTTTAGACCCATCCAGAGAAAATGTTTTAACATCTCTTTTATTTTCCTCACCCACACCAGCTGGATCAGCACTACCTTTAGAAGAAAGGATGTGAATATTACACCAGCAGTGTAGACAGCTGGCTCTTGTTCATCAGATGAATACTGCTGTTTCACTGAATTGGTGACAATTTCTTCTAGCATTTTAATCTGAGCCAGCTGTCCTATTCAGAGGCACCACTCACCTGCTGTATATCCCTGTGAGTAACCCCGTGCTCCATACCTTTTCCAGCAAAATTTTGAACTCTGTGCGTTCTTGTTTCTGAACAAACACCAAGGATAGATGTAGACCTGTGTGCTTGCAGTGTGCAGAACTGGAAAAAAAAAATCCCCATTTTATTTCAACACCATCTTGGAGGAGAAGAGATTCTACATGTTAGATAAAAGGAATGGAAAGTAAGGAGATTTCGGCGGTTTTATCAATATCTTTGCTAAATGCTTATAAGAAACTCAAGAGATTCTGTAGCCAGAAAACTGAATTCTATTTTTTTTTTAAATCAAAATCTGGATGATTCATTTATTAAATGTAATTAAAATTACTTGTGAAAGAACATACATTTGTCTGATGACAACATTTCTGGGCTACTTATGTAATAACACATCATGTTGTCCCACATGTGCCTCATCTTGCTTTCAGGAGTTTGTGTCTTTGAAATGTTATGGAGGCTAAACCAGTTAGAATCTTGATGTCTTACCAAGAATATCCAAGAGCTGGTAGTGAAGATTTTGATCCTGCAGGTCAGCAGCTTGCTTTGTATGCACCAAACATCCCATTGTGGCAACATCTGGGACTGACTTCAGATGGCTTGTAGGTAGAGGCCTGTATGCTCAATTAAAAACCCAGTGACTTTTTACTGTATTTTATGTAACTAATTGTCTTGAATCCAGTTTTGTATTTGTAATTTTCAACTAGAAACTGTTGATTCAGCTTTCCAGATACAAAAGTGTCCATGGTACTGCTATTGCCTCTAAACAACCAGTATGTTTTTCCCTCCCCTCAACCACAATTGGGAAGAAAATAAATAATTTCCCAGTTTCATTGACCAGTAACAGTTGAGACAATCCTTTTATGCAGCTAAATTTATTCTCTGGACAGATTACATTTAAATGTGGAGAAGTGGTCAACAGCAGGGAAAATTGTCCTTTTCCAGGTCAATCAGGTGGTTTATGTAAGACTGAGCTCTGCTAATAAACAGTGGGTGTGTTTCCTTCTTTCTTACTGCTGTTAAAATAAATCATACCTGCTTTTGCTGACTGTACAGCACAAGTTTTAGCAATGTATTAATTAATCTGCCCAAGAAAGGAGTAATGGGGTTAATGGTAATGCTGAAAGGCTGAGCTGTTGAAATAAGAAACTTCTCTTTTCCATGTGTGATTTACTAACAATTTTAGATCCATAGTTAAATGATCTACAAAATGCTTGATAAAATAAAAGGGATGTAGAACTCTTAGTGACACAGAACTGGTGTAGGCTATTGGATACAACACAGGTTTTCTGCCTCTGTCATGAAAGGGCATGTTGTTTCAGTAGGGACAGGCGACTGCACACGAACTACCTCACTAAAAACTCACTTTACTGTGAGTAGATTCTGTGCCCTTCCGTGCAATTTCTGTTACTCCTGTTTCACCACCCTGTAGGTGGCCTCCGTAGCCTTGTATCTCCCACACCCCCCCTTGCTCCCCTTCAAACAAGATAGTAAGTGGCTTAAATAAAACCTACAGCCAGCACTGCACATTTCAAAAGAAAGGCTTTTATCTGTTAGTTGTTGACTGTGGATATAAATCTCCTTGCTTCTGCAAGGGAGCATATTAATGACATGACTAACATGTGATACTTAACCTCTAACTCACTACTTATATTGAAAAAAATTAAGAAATCAGCTTTGCTTTACATGATTTTTCTACAGACTTCAATAAAAATGTGACTACAAATAATTACAAAGCCTGCCTTTTTTTAGGCAACCTATAGTATACAGAGTGGAGAATGTTACAAGAGCACGTCCAGTAAAGACAATACATCAACATAATAATGCAGGATATTTCAGTAAAAATAGAATAAATAAAATAAAAATATTTTAAGCTGTATTTAACAGGTTAATTTAAAATATGGCATCAGACATACAAGGCATAGTGAACATGGCTGCCTGCCTACAGAATCACTAGGTATTGTAAAAAAATGCATAGGTAACTGAAGGGTCGCTATAACATCAACTGAAACAGTGGCACTTGCTCAGACACACATACCCCATACATACTTTTTTGGCCATGGTAAAAAGAGTGTCTTAATATATCGTTTAACAAAAAATAACTGGCTTTGCAATATTGGGCTCTAGTTCTGCAAAAACCTGGGTGGATATTTAATCTTTTGGAGAATACGGAGCTCTACTGAAGCAAAAAGGGCACATACAGCCAGACCATTAAGCACACTACTTAAATATTTGTAAAATCAACAACATTTTGTTAACAGACACAAAACTCTTAAAACATATATTGGCAAGTAACCTACGGCTTTTCACATACCTTTCTATATTTTCCTCCTTCCTGCAACTGCACAGTTTGCTAGTGAAAGCTAACTAGATGTTCATAGCCTTGGCAACACGCATGGAGAAGAACCTTTACATTGCTGTTGCCAAGTGTTGGTTTAGTTTAAAGAGTCTGCATCTCTCTTGGGGGGAATCCGCACCGTGCAGATGCAACTACAAAATTTAATGATACTGTTTAAACTTCACTGCTGAGAACAGCTGCAAATTCCAAATCCTGGCGTTTCCAGCTGGAACTTTAAAAAGACACAAAGTATTTTCTGTAATTTAAAACAAAATAAAGTCAAAGTTTGAATCACTAGTATGATGAAGAACAGGGAAGCTTTTATCTCTTAACTTCACGATCCCACCCAAAGGCACATTATCAGCCACCACATTTTGCCAGCGGTTGTGATAGGAAGTAAGTTTTTACACTGCTCCTGGTAGATGTCAGTGGGATCAGTACTGGAAACTAAGCAAGCATGGATGGAAGCTGCTGTCTCCATGCTTTGTCATCTGGCTTCCTAGTCAGTTTAAACCACTGGCACTGCTAAAAGGAGCGCCATCTCCTCCGGCGATGTGTTCTCCCCGCCTGCTTGGCATTAGCAACCTCTCCTCCAGCTGTACAAGTAATAGAGCTGGTGCAAAGGAGGTGGCAGGGAGGCAAGGCTGGGGAGGGGAAACAATTGCTTCAGTGCCTGGGGTGCAGAATTGTGGTCATCAAGAGAGTTGAGATGGGTGGAGGATTCCTCAGGTATTCTAGAGTGCTGAGTTTAATTACAGTAGTTGCACAGCTAGCCTTCACCCGACACCTGCTCATACATCAGGCTGAGTGTAATGATTTTTCTGCTTTTTTCAATGCAGAAATTTCTTGAATCATCATTCTTTTCCCCTTGTGTTCCTAAGCTGCTTTGCCCAGGTGTTGCCGCTAATTTCTTTAAACAAGGAAAAAAAATAAAATTGTTTATAACAGTCTCTTGCATAGTAAAATTAAAAAAAAGAGCTCTTGTAGTAATAACGACAATGTTCTTTTAAAACTGCAGTATGATCAGATTTGCAGACTTATGAGACAGTTACAGTTTGGAACATATCTATAAATGGAAGCAAAACATTTTTAACACTAGCTAAAAATAACTTTAATGTTCCATTTCCAAAATTTGTACCAATCTGCAGGTCTAGACAGAAGATGGCAATGGGAGAGGTTCAAAATGCGTAACTGCATTTGAAAATTAGCCTGAG